GTATGGACAGTACCAGTATTAAATCCTTCTATAAAATTAAAAAAAAATTTAAGATATTTTATAAATTGTTGTATTAGTGAGAAAATTTATTGGTAAAATGAAATATGTATATTTAAATATTGAATCACTTGTTTATCATTTAGTAAATAAGATTTCTTTTGTTAATATGATTTATGATTATTCTCCTTCAAACAACAACCATTGACGCATTCCAAAGGTTCATAAATAGATGAACAAATATATAACTATATTTGAAATTTCATTTTTTGAAATATTAGAAATTGTAGATATAGTCATGAGGTTAAGCGGGGTATTGAGCATAACAAAATCTAAGAGGGCTTTTGAGGGCTAAGCCTTCCAAATTTTCTATTATCCCCTACAAATTCAGAGATATTGTATACATTGTTATAGAAAAATTATTTTCTGGAATGAGGATATTTAAATTTAGCCACACCAAAAAAATTTACCACCCTACAACTATAGAAGTGAGGATAATTTTTTACAATTTCCATATACTTAATTTATTGTTAGAAGGAATTACATGAAATTTTTATGCTACTAAAAATTAATATCGGTCGGTTATATAGTTTTATATGTAATTATATATAGTTATTGATATATAATTACTATTAAAACCAGAATAATATTAGTTCAATTGAAATATTCAAAACTTAATTGAATTATTAAATATTTAATAATTATTTATATTGATATAATGCACATAATACAATCTGCTTCTTACGTATTTTTTTAAATAATATATATTTTTTGACCATTCATTCATTACTTAAAAATTAAAAAAAATTTTTATTACACTTATTTGAAGGATTTTGTTATCATTTAGTCCATATGCGAATCTTTACATTTGTGAAAAATTGTATCGAGATTTCAATGTCTTATTTTTTGGGTTATGGTTTCGTAAGACTAGAAGATTTTAATCTACCTGTTAGATTAGGTTATTGAAAAGATATTTTAAATTAACCCTCCCAAATGTGTTCTATTTAGTTATCACGCTATTCGAAAACTAGTTAGAGCGCGTTAAAAAATGTTAAATTATTATAAATCAATTGTAATCAAAATCGTCATTTACATTGATAAAATTAGAGACTTACCGTTTTGTAATATAATTGTAAATTTATTCTGTTTTAAATCAGTAAAAAATTCTTAATTGTATCTATTATTCTTGAGGATTTTTTTCCTTATTTGGTTCATATAAAATTATGAAACAATAATAATTTACGTTTAACAATATTGTTATAGTACTCTTGTGGTAAACCAACCTGGTCAAACTTTTATGATTATCCGAAAATATTCCTAAATTTAGGTCAACTATGGACTAGTTGGACATGTTTTATTAACACCTATGATTTCGTCCTCTTATGTATTGTTTAAGTTCATTTTAACCTAAACGTTCTTGGTTATTTTTAAATGATTAAAAAAGTTAATTATGTGCTAATTATTTCAAATGTAGAATATTTTTAAACACCATGAATTATATTAAAATGATTACTAAGATTTTTATTTAAATAATTTATCACGATATAAATGAAAAACCAATTGTAATTTTAACGAAATTTTGAACATTTTCCATAAATTTTCTGTATATAATATTTCCTAACTTCATAATATTTTGAAAATTCTCATAAAATATTCTATTTATTCATTTATATCAAACTTGCAAGTTCAACATTTTTATAATAAAAACTTTGTGAAAATAAACTCTTAAGGACGAAAAAAACGGTTAAAAATGACATTTTGAATTGAAATTTTACATGGATAATATAAAATATTAAAAATAAAAATCAATAATTATTTGAAAAATTTTAAATTTTAGCTTCGATGCGAAGCTGAAAAGGTATTAATTTTACTATGATGTGTTTTTTTTTTTTTTTTATGTCTGTTGCCACTTTTTCTCAGCTCTCACTGGCCCGATTTCTTTCAAAAATACGTCAAAAGATCACAAATCGTATCTAGTTGAAGATATTACCCTTAAAAATTGAAAAAATTCCATCGTTCCCCGAAAATGAGGGAAATATCCAAAAAAATTACAAATTTAAAAATCGGAAAATTTTTTCATTTTTTCACTTTTTTTTCTTAAAACTTCCTTAACTTTTTAAAAATCAACAAATCAACATAATTTTTTTTTATACTAAAACCATAGATATTTACCTTTTATTTGATATAATTTTTTTGAAAATCTAACACTTATTCTGCTCACAGGGGGGGATTCAAAATAGTAACTTTTTTACAAAAATTAATTTTTTCAACTTAATTTTTGAAAATGTTCCGGAAATACTGCGTCCTTCAAACATATATCAAATGAGAGCTTATTTTATGTACTATAAAATGAAAAAAAAAAATTTGTCTCGACACTTTATCTTCTACATTTAAACGGCTGCCGTAGTTAATAAAAGACTATTTTTTTTAAAATTTTCTATTTTAAATTTTCAACTTAAAATTGCTATAACTTTTTGAAAAATGTATATATCAGCACAAATTTTTTTTTCTAAATACATTATAAGTACATCTTTCATTTGACATACTTTTTATTAAAATTGGACAATTTCCCCTTATATAGGGGGCGTTCAAAACTTAAAATATTGTAAAAAACATAGATNTTGGGGGCGTTTAAAACTTGAAATATTATAAAAAACATAGTTCTTTTTCAACTGAACTTTTGAAAATGTTCCGGGAATACTGCGTCCTTTAAATATATATCAAATCAAAGGTTATGTTATATACTATCAGATGAAAAAAAAAAAATTGTCCCGACACCTTATCTAGTATGTGCAAATTGCTGTCAAATTAAAAAAAAATGGAATATTTGGGGTAAAAATCACCTTCTATAAGGATATTTTTTGTACTTAAAACTGCCATATTTTTTTCAAATATTAACAAATCAAAATAATATTTTTTTATATTGAAACCTTAAGTAATTTTCTTTCGTCTGATTTCATTTTTTTTGAAAATCTAACACTTATTCTGCTCACAGGAGGGATTTAAAATAGCAACTTTTTTACAAAAACTAACTTTTTCAACTTAATTTTTGAAAATGTTCCGGAAATACTGCGTCCTTTAAACATATATCAAATTAGAGCTTATTTTATGTACTACAAAATGAAAAAAAAAAATTGTACCGACAACCTATCTTCTATGCGTAAACGGCTACCGTATTCAAAAATATACTATTTTTCTATTGAAATTCTAGGTTTTGTATTTTATTTTATTTTAAAATATCTTATTAGGAGAATATATTGACTTTCATTATTATTATATAATTTAATTGACATAGAATAAAGGTCATAAGACATAAGAAATTAAACTTATTAAATTTTTTTACTTTTTTATTTTCATATTAAATTTAAATATTATAATTAATATTTTTCAAATATTATATTTTAAAATCAAAGAACTACTAATCAGGATATAATTAAAGAAATAAGAGTTCATGTTGCTTTTAAAATATTTCACCAATTTCTCTAAAGGAAACACTATCTACAGATTTGCATCGAAGNAATATTATAATTAATATTTTTCATATATTATATTTTAAAATCAAAGAACTACTAATTAGGATATAATCAAAGTAATAAGAGTTGATGTAGCTTTTGGAATAATTTACCAATTTCTCTAAATGAAACACTATATACAGATTTTACATACTCGTCAATACCACCGTTCTTTTACACAACTGATCCTAAATACTTAAACTACTCTCCACCACTCCTGTAACGTCATCGCTTATCACCAGCTGTTCGCTTTTAACAAAGTCTACTTTAGATACTTTGACTTACTCCCTCTTATTCTTAATCCATTTCCTTCAGTAGCTAAATTCCACATTTCTAGCCTTTGGTTATTTTCTTACCTAGTAAATTTATACATTAATAAACAATTTTTTAGTATTGATGCGAAGCTGAGAAGGTAATATTATCATGATGTATTTATTTATTTTTAATTTTAATTTTTTTTTTGTCTGTTACTACTCTTCAACAGCTCTCTCTAGACCAACATTTCTCAATAATACTTCAAAAGATCACAAATCGTATCTAGTAGAAGACATTAGCCTCAAAAATTACAATTTTTTCCCAAGATTCCCGTAAATGATGAAAATTCCCAAAAAAATTACAATCTTTTAAATCGGTAAATTTCGATATTTTTTACTTTTTTTTTATAATAATTAGCCAATTCAACATATTGAAAAATAAGCAAATAAAAATAATTCATTTTTATAATAAAACCTTAAATATTATCTTTTGATTAGATATACATTATTTGAAAATTTTACTCATTACCTGCCTACAGAGATGGATTCAAAATAACAATTTTTACACACGAGTTAAACTTTTCCAACTTAATTAATGAAAATATTCCAGAAATACTACAAGCTCTAAATATATATAAAATAAATTTGTCCGAACATCTTTTCTTTTATGGGGAAATGCACGCCAAATTGAACAAAAAATGTAATTTTTATGTAAAAATCAATATTAAAAGTGTTGATTTTTGATACTTAAACGTGCCACATTTATGTTAAAAATGCACAAAGCAATACAATTTTTTTTATATTAAAAACAATAGAAAAGTTTTTTTTTCAAGCCTTCATTTTTATGCGTGTTTGCCATAACAGCGACAAATAGTTTTCAACTTCTTTATGATTTCTTTTTTATAAAAACTACAATACTATATTATTAAAGATCAATTTCATACTATATTTAATTTCAATAATAATGTTCATTCATATATTACACTTATAAATCATAAAATTTGTAATCAAAATATAAAATAGGAGTTCATTTTTCTTTTGGGATAATCCACTAATTTTTTAAAATTAAACACTAGGTGATATCATTATTGAAATAATTTTAAATATGTGATTTATGAAATCTAATTGTTATAATGTCAAATCCATTAAAATCTAAATTTACGAAAAACATTATTTTAGAATAAACAATTAATGTTTGCAATATTTTAGTATAAATTGAAACACAACATACGTAAAATTATTCATTTAAAATTTAAACATTTGAATAATTATTTTTTAAATTGTTATTTTCTAAAAATTATTGTAATGCATTTAAAAACTATACTAATCTTTTGTGCAGTATGTTTTTTTACCGATACATTGGTAAGTATTTATTTAAATATCTAATTGTTTTTTTTTTAACAAATATATTATATAAATATTTAAAGAGTGACGGACTTAATGCAATCCAAATACAATGCTTGCAAATATTGGTAAAAAATTATAATGATAAAGAAATGGTAAAAAAAGTGATAAAAGCTTTTAATGTCAATGAAGAATACGATTATAACACTGAAGGTAATTATTACATATAATTTTTAGCTTTATTTTATTATCACAAACTTTTATAAAGAAAGATTCTATTAGGAATTTCTCATAATTTTTATGGTTTTTGTTAGTTACATATGTAACTCAATGTAACTGTTATAAAATATTATACATGTTTTCCCCTCATGTGTTATGGAGGTGTGCATTAAATTTTTTTTAAATTAGTAATATACATATTTCAATAGCCTATTAAAAAGAAAATTATGTTATTAAGAAAACGATCAATGGTTTTCTTAATTGCATAATTTTCCATTTTATAAGTAAAGTAAATATGTATGTTTCTATTTAAAAAAATAAAGTTGATACCGTAGGTAGCAAGTTTATATAAGTTGGTAATGGTTCTCTACGACGCCGCTTTCACAGATATGCAGTATTTATTATAAATTATGACTTTATCAAGAGATATGCTTTCTGTATTGTCTGTTGGTGTATTTATTGACTCAAAAAAATTTGCCTTACTACCATTAATAATAAACACTCTGTATTTGTGATAGCGACGTTATAGAAAAACCAATTAGCTACCTGTATTTGTAATAACCTTCTATGTTATATATGTATATTAACTCAACGATATGAAACTTAAAAGTTTTATATCTAATAAACGAATAATGTTCTATTAAAAATTCAAATACCATTTACTGTTAAATTAAAAACTCGATTATTTTATTAAATTCGAAATGTGTTATCATTTGAAAACACAAAATTATCATCCAGTAAGGACAATGAAGTTTAAAATTTAGAAAAATGCTTATTTAAGCAGCGGAATAAGGCAAAGTTGTTGCCTCAAAGATAAGTCATATATACATGCAGGTGTTCATAACACACATGTACAGCACTATGATTTGCAGTATACATTTGAAGTTCTGGTGTAGTAGCGGCTACCAGTATAAGACCGACACTGGCATATATTTGACATGATAACGTTTTTCATACTGTCAGATCAGGTTCTGTAAAACCAGTATTATGTCAGTCCTGTGTCAGCAATTGTAGCTAAGTACTGATGTATAATACTGGATCAGTACTTAAATAAGACGCCAGACAATACTGTTTCGGTCTCAGAGTGGACAGTATAAATACGATTATAATTAAGATTATACGTTAACTAATAAGAACGATATAATACTTAAACTTTTAACTTAGTTTATATTACTTTATTTTGTATACACATGTTGGCGTGAGCGGCGTGCCGTCCTTTACGCATAGCGAACTCACCGTTTGACTACTATAAATGCAATAAAAAAAAAACCCAGCAAATAGGGGTGGCGGCACAGAGGGGTCGTGGCATAGTGAGGTCCAGTATAAATGATATCTGACAGTGATTAAATTCACTATCATAAAAAACGCTTCGATGCAAATCTGTAGATAGTGTTTAATCTAAAAAAAAAAAATTGTCAAAAAAGTAAGTCAATGAGAGCTGAGAAAATAAATGATAGCTACAAAAAAAACCACATCGTAAAATAATAGTAATATGAATTTCTTCTCAGGAGAGGAGCTACAGTTATGGGATCCTTGATATTTATTGAAATTATTGAATCTATATGAGATAAAAATCAAATGAGTTAAACATTTTTTTTTAACTGAAAAAGAATTAAAAAAGAATTCAGTGCCAAGATCCAAGTGTTACCGTCTCAATAACAGTACTTTCCATTCGTCACATAATAAAAATGGAAACTTAGCTAGTTCAAATTTTAAAGTTATTTTTCTCGACTTCAAAAAAACAAAAAACCTAAAATATGATTAATTTTTTATACTATGTCATTTAGATTGATATAATATTTATGAAAATCAGTATAATCCAATTATAATAAAATTAAATACAAAACCAAGGATTTTAACACAATAATAGCATATTTTTGAATACGGTAGCTATTTTCGCATAGAAGATTAGTTGTTGAGACAATTTTTTTTTTTCATTTTATAGAACATAAAATAAGCTTTAATTTGATATATGTTTAAAGGACGCAGTATTTCCGGAACATTTTCAAAAATTAAAATGAATAAGTTAGTTTTTGTAAAAAATTTGCTATTTTAAATCCCTCCTGTGAGCAGACTAAGTGTTAGATTTTCAAAAAAAATGATATCAAACGAAAGGAAATTACCTAAGGTTTCAATATAAAAAAATATTATTTTGATTTGTTAATATTTGAAAAAGTTATGGCAGTTTTAAGTACAAAAAACATCCTTATAGAAGGTGATTTTTACCCCAAATATTCCATTTTTTTTTAATTTGACAGCAATTTGCACATACTAGATAAGGTGTCGGGACAAATTTTTTTTTTATTTTATAGTGCATAAAATATGCTTTAATTTTATATATGTTTAAAGGGCGCAGTATTTCCGGAATATTTTCAAATATTAAGTTGAAAAAGTTAGTTTTTGTAAAAAAGTTGCTATTTTAAATCCTCCCCAATGAGCAAGTGAAGTGTTAGGTTTTCAAAAAAATTATATCAAATGAAAAGAAAATATCTAAGGTTTTAGTATAAAAAAAAAAATTATGTTTATTTGTTTATTTTTGAAAAAGTTATGGAAGTTTTAAGAAAAAAAAGTAAAAAAAATGACAAAATTTACCGATTTTTAAATTTGTAACTTTTTTGGATATTTCCCCAACTTGCGAATAACGAGGGAAAATTTTTCAATTTTTAAGGTAATGACTTTAACTATTAATTTAAGTTTATGTTTAAATTATAATCATATAAGTAACTTAATTACCACTAAAGAAATTCCCTCGTTCCTCGTAAATGTCGGGAAACCTCCAAAAAAATTACAAATTTAAAAATCGCTAATTTTCGAAATTTTTTCAATTTTTTTTACTATAAACTGCTGTAACTTTTTCAAAAATTAACATATCAATATAATGTTTTTTTTTATAGACGCTTGATATCTTAACCTTTTATTTGGTATATTTTTATATTTGACCCTTTACCTGCCTACAGGGGGGGGGGTTTAAAATGACAACTTTTTCACAAAAAATTAATTTTTATAACTTAACTTTTTAAAGTGTTCCGGAAAGTCTGACACTATGATATATATATTTTTTATTTGAAATAATATTTATATCACTCTTTCATTCGATTTATATTAACTTAAACAGGATATAAATAAAGAAATAGGAGATAATGTAGCTTTTGGAATAATCTACTATTTTTTTTTAAATTTAACACTTTATGAATATTTGCATCGAAGAATTTTTTGTGATAGTGATTTTAATCACTTTCAGATATCATCATCTATACTTGTTCCAACCCAACCGCATCCATACTGTGCCGCGACCTCCCTGTGCTGAGTTTTTTTTATTAATAAAGATAAAACATTTACATTTAAATACTTAAATTTAATAATACTTAAAATATTTTCTAACATATTTTTACCTATTTATGATATATCATATATTTATTAGCTGACAAAATATTCTAATTATAATAAATAGTATTTTCTTAAAATATATTTTTTTGCCAAATGTTTTGATCTGTTTTTTTATTTGAGTTTTGTTATTTAAACTTTAAAAAATGTATGTGCAATCAATTTTAATTATTATTAACAAATTATGAAACTTAAATAAATTTACTCTTTTATTTACATACATTAAGTCACTCATATAAGTTACATGATTAACGACTAAATAATTCTAGCTATATTTATTATGAAAAATTTGTGAAAATTAATGATTACTACATTAATATTATACATTCTTAAAAATTTTTGTCATTCTATATTCAGGTTTTTTTATTTTGTTAAAAACTTACCCAGGACCACAAAAACAAAAATTAGACGTGGTCAATTCACTTATCACTTTAACTACACTCCTGTACTACTTGGTGACTAGTTAAAAATTTTAGGATTCTTACTGGTATTTATGTTATTACATTTCCCTAGCTTAATTTTTATAAGATATACTATTTATTATAGCATTAAGCGTTTCCGAAAAACAAAAGTTTACAAATTTTCACTTTCTAACTGAATTTTTCTTGTATGCTGAAATAATACTAAAATATTGAAATGTATTTGAAATTAAAAGAGCTCAAAAACTATTTTATAAGGGCATTTTTTTTACATTAATTATTTATAAAAAAATAACCATAAATTTTACAGAAAAAATATAATATGTAATTCCTTTTGATTTTTCAAAAATAATCCCTTAAAATTTCCTATAGATATTTTTTAAAATTATGTGTAAAAAAATTTAATGTTAATTAGTTATGATATTAACTTTTTATTTGAGACACTTTTTTCTGATTTTTATTAATTTTGGAGAAAATCTATGTAAGATGTACTTTTAATATATTTAAAGTATTTTATATTTTATAGATAATGAATGTAAAAGAGTTTACGAGATTCTATACTTTATGCATCAATATGATAAGGCGGGTGATGGTATAACTCTACCTGGTGATCAAAAAGAAGTAAAATCATTTATTAATTAGTTTATTATCTATTTACATGACTCAGTAGTAAACTATTTTGAATTTTTAGATAATAAAACTTGATAAAAATGAGTTAGAAAGAGTGTTCGGTCATTATTGTGAAATTGGCTTAGAAGACATTGGTTTTATAGACTATAAGTATTACCTTAAGTTGATTGATTCAATTGGCTACAGTAGTCTTATTAAAAATGTAATTATTGATTTATTTACGTTTTATTTTATAGATAATCTTATTCAAGCTAATACATACCAATTTTACTAAAGAATTTAGAATCTTGTATGTGTATTTTTTCAGTAAATCCAAATTATTAACAAGATGTATTCTGATAGCAAACGATAATTTCTAATCATTATTTTAAATAAATTCAATGATTTTATTTATAAAATATATCAAGATTAATAGGTAAAAACAAGTAAAATAGATAAGTTTCTGAATTAATTGGTTGTAATTGATGAATATAGTGTATTTGAAAAGATAACATGACATATTAATTATTTGTTCTTTTTATATAAATAATTCAATAATGTGATGCATATTTTACTAAATGGTAAATATTATAGATATGATATTCTGCCAGGGTCCAAAAATGGTCTGATATATTTTGAGTTAAAATAATTTGGGTCTTGCCCTTGGTATATTAAATTATTTCTGAAGTGCATATTTTATAATTTATTATTCAATAAAATTCGATTTTTCTATAATTTGTATATATTTTTAGCTATCACAATTAATGCATCTAAATATATGTCATCAAAAAATAGTTATATTAATTAAAAACACTTGTAAATATTTAATCATCTTCATTCATTTCTTCTGTATTCAAAATTAAATTATAAAACATAATTTTGTTTTTATTTTAACATATATTTTTTAAATATAACAATTTTATTTTATATTATTTTAAGTATTAGCTTCGATGGAAGAAATTAATTTTTCTATGATGTGTTTTTTTATTTTTGTCACCACTTTTTCTCAGCTCTTAAAGGTCTAATTTCATTCAACGATACGTCAAAAAATCAAAAATCATATCTAGATAAAAAATTGACCTTGAAAATTGAAAATATGTAATGAATAATGGGGATGTTTCAAAACTTGAAATATACAAAATTTTTATGTAACTTGCGAAAATAGAATTTGTTCAATTTAAAAAAAAAGCAAAAACAAAATTAAATAAGTTTAACCTTTTATGTATTATGAACTTCATGCTATATCAATTTAATTTTATAATATTCATGAAAGTCAATGTATTCCCCTTGTTCGATATTTTAAAACAAAATGAAATACAAAAACCAGAATTTAAATACAAAATTAGCATATTTTTGAATACGGTAGCCATTTTCATGTATAAAATATTCTATCTTTCGATTTTTTTTCATAGTAAAGTATACAATATAATCTTTATTTTAAGATAAAATAAAAGTGTCAATATTTCCGAACATTTTCAAAAATTAAATTGATAAAGCTTAACTTGTTTGCAAAAATGTGTAAAACCCCTGTGGGCAGATTAAAAGTCAAATTTTCAAAAAACTTATATCAAATCAAAGAAAAATATCAAAAGTTTCGATATAAATAAAAAATATTTGAATTTGTTCATTTTTCAAAAAGTTATGGTAATATTAAGTAATCAAATAGTTCATGTTAAACAGTGATTTTTACATAATAATGACATTTTTCTTTAAATTTGACGGCTATTTTCTGATAGAAGATAAATTGTCGGGACAAATTTTTTTTTTAATTTTATAATAAATGATTTTAGCTTTCATTTGGTATATGATTAAAGGAGGCAATATTTCCGGAACATTTCCAAAAGTTCAGTTGAAAAAATTCTATTTTTTATAGAAAGTTTCAAGTTTTGAACGCCTATATTTTGAAATATAGGGAAATTGTTCAATTTTATAAAAAATATATCAAATAAAAGATGTATTTATAATGTATTTAGAAAAAAATTTTGTGCTGATACATACATTTTTCGAAAAGTTATAGAATTTTTAAGTTGAAAATTTTAAATCGAAAATCGAAAGTTTTAATACAAAAATACCATTTTTTTTTCTATGGCAGCCGTTTGCATGTAGAAGATAAGGTATCGTGAAAATTTTTTTTTTATTTGTCAGTATATGACATAACCTTTGATTTGATATATGTTTAAAGGACGCAGTATTTCCGGAACGTTATCAAAAATTAAGTTGAAATAGTTAGTTTTTGTAAAAAAGTTGCTATTTTAAATCCTCCCTTGTGAGAAGGTTAAGTATTAGATTTTCAAAAAAATGTTATCAAATGAGAGGTTATTATCTAATGTTTTGATATAAAAAAAAATTTTATTGATTTGTTAATTTATGAAAAATTTTAAGAAAAAAAGTAAAGAAATGACAAAATTTACTGATTTTTAAATTTGTAATTTTTATGGACATTTTCCCCATTTGCGGGAACGAGAGAAACTTTTTCAATTTTTAAGGGTAATGTCTTCAACTAGATACAATTTGTGATCTTTTGACTTATTGTTGAAAGAAATCGGTCCAGTGAGAGCTGAGAAAAAGTGGCAACAGCATAAAAAAAAAAAAAAAAGCATTATTGTAAAATTCATAAAATTCGCATTGAAGTTAAAAGTAGCTCTTTGATATTGCCCAATTAGTTTGCGAACCTAACAGAAACTTATGTAATCATAAATCATGAGAGTGTTTATTATTTCATTATTATAAATATATACTTGACGGTATCCGAATTATAACTTATGTCATACATCGTATATGTTTAGACATAATAACTTTTGATAAAACCCGGCTCTTAATTTATTTTTAAAGTTTGGTCTGACACTAAGAATTAGTTTTAAATGTTTTACTAAATATTATTGTTAAGGAGAGCTTAGCTTAATGATATTATACTAGTAATCGACTGTGTTATCTCCTTTTTAGATAATAATCTGAGTTAGTTGACCTTCTGTCGTTTTCGTCCTCCTCTTGCGATAGTGTTTATTGATTGTGATTTTATAAAATGTGTATTATTTAATTCATTTTTATATGAGTAATTAAGACATAATTTATCCTATAGGGTGGTAAATATTTTATAATTTATAATTTACTTTTATTTTAAAAGTTATTTATAACTCATTTGTTATTAATATTTGGTTATAAATTATTTTGTATTAATAGCTTAAAAGTTGAAAAATTAAATCAGCTTGTGTTCACATCATTATTCTATTTATTTTTCACAATATGAAAAATTCAACAATAGTGAAGATTAAAGTATTTTATTTATTTTTTTTATTATAAGTACTATCAATTTTTCATAATACTATAAAAATTAGTATAGTTTATACGAAAGCAATTGGATTTAACCAACCAATGGTAAAATGTTGAACTTGTAAGATTCATAGTATGGGATACTATCTATGGAGGAGTGGAGAGAGCCCCCCCCACAAGCTTTTGTTGGCCCCTCCAATAAACATTTTCTGACTACGTGCCTGCCCTCTATGCTAATTAAAATGTATTACAAATTAAATAAATAGAAATAAAACGTGTATAACATAAGTGGTAAGAATATAGTAATAAATGTTCTTACTCTACTGATTACTTAATGAAATAATTTATTGTGCTCACTTTTAACAAAAATTTTGTTTGATATTCGTCCGTAGTTTATTTTTAATCAACTCTTCTATTAATTTAATAATTCTACCAGTAGTATCATTAATCTATTTTAGATTCATTTTAATAGAAGATCCATTAATGTACGAATCACAATACTCTCACTTACTAAAATGAAAATGTTAAAAATATTTTGAAATTTTAAATCTTGTAAGGAACTTGTTGGATTTATCATCAAATAGTTTAAGTAAAGTCGTATTACTATCATTTTCTAGAAATATCTCTACATTGACCTTGTTCAGTATTCATTTTTTAAACAAAAGTTGTTATTTTTAATCTCTCCCTTGTGGGCAATTAAAGAGTCGTATTTTCAAAAAAATTATTTTATATAAAAGAAAATTACTTACATAATTAAAAAAAAAAATAGGTTTTCATATAAGAAAAATTTATATTTATTTGTTCATATTTCAATAAGGTATAGCAATTTTTAGGAAAAAAAATGCCGAAATTTACCGATTTTAAAATTTGTAATTTTTTGGGGATTTTCACCATTTACGAGAAAATTATTATAATAAAATCAATGAGGGAAAACTATTTAATGTTTTTGGATTATGTCTTCAATTAGATACGATTGGTGATCTTTTGACGTATTAGTTTTAAAGGGCCGCCGTTACCCTTTAAATTCAAGATACTCATTGAAGAATTTCTAATATATGTGGTTATTTGATATTTAATTATTGTCTACTCTCGCTACTTATTGGATGTGCAGTTAGCCGTCATCCCACAGGTGAAACATTGCCACTTCAACAATAGCGATTTAAACAAAGTTAAGGTAAAACGGCAATCTTATGCGGTGCACAACTACCCGTTCTACGGTCTAGCTGCCTCGTACAAAACAAATACAATAAAAAGAGATCTATAAAAATTTTTATCAAATAAAGTTTTTAATGAATACAAAACCCAATAAGAATAAATTTTATTTTATGACAAACCTTGAGTTTTTAGTGCCATGTTTTATTGAATTTTGATAGAGTAATAAAATTGCAAGTAATTTATTTACATTTAAATGAAAAAAATTTGCTTAGTGCCTATTAAAATTAGAACTTGAAAAATAAAATCCACTCTTATACTCTCATTATTAAATACCCTCTTCTACTTAGTAGTACTACAATAAACTATTTTTTATATTTTAGAATGATTTACTGAATAATTGGAAGAGTACCATTCAGGAAGAACGTAATTATTTAACAAATTATTATAAAAAATCTATTATTTCATTTATATTGTAATATTTTTTAGATAAATACGATTTAGGCGATGTAATGATAAAATTATTAGAGTACCAGTCACAATTTTATGATCTAAGATTTGGTAAAATGGAAGATCTGGAAATGTTCGACGAATTTATTAAATATAGCATACGTGATGACACTTCTGATCAAAAAATGCCTAAATTACAATTACTATTAAATTGTTTTTTAGTACATTTGTAGAAAAACCCACTAACATTGTTTTTTGAAAGGTGTCTCAGTTAAATTTTATTATATGTCAAGTTCATATTGGCGTCTACTTTATTGCATATTGTTATAAATATTTAACACACTTATAAAAAAGTTTAATCATAATTTTGTTCTTAAAACAGCATTTAAAAGGAAAATGTCATATTAATAGTTTAAAACAATCTACTAAACAGTTTGGACTCATAACCTTTTATCCACCCACAATCCATTTTTAACTTGTAGATATATTTTTACTATTTGTTTTCATGCTAGTCGATTGCACGTAGTTATTCAAATATGTATATTGTGTTACCTATTCAAAAATAATAGGTATTACATTTTAATGTACTTCACAATTTATATGTCATATATTCAAAATGTAATTTTTAATACTAATATAAAATTTTAAAAAATTCTAATAGTACATTATTTATTTAAATATCAAATTATGACTTTGTTAATCAATATCTAGTTAAATATTTTGAAAAACGAAAAAATCCAAATAAAAATTAATTCTAATTGGAACAATCCATTGTTAAATTCATGTAAAACCAAAAATCATTTTCTTAGAAATAATTTATAATGTGTCATATTATTAAAATTTTGGAACATTATATACTTACTAGGCTCCGCCTAGCTGGGGCTCTGCCCCAGACCCGGGGCCCTTCGAGCCTTACGCGCCTTCGGCGCGTAAGTCTCTTCGGGCCATCATCATAAGTAGGCCACTGATTCCGGTAGAAGTACCCGGCTACGCCGGGCACGATAAGTGTTTTTCAGAAGAAATATTACTTCAGAATCAGTGAAAACTATAGAAAACTATATCTAAAAATGTTATTATTAAAATCAGGAAAATTCAAAAAGAGAATATAGTAAAATGTATTGGGTATAAGGTTGAAGCCTCTTAATGAGGTATTCCCTTTAGGCCTATTGAAAAATTATTTTAGGAGGAAATTTAATATTTTTTACTTTGTTAAACATGTTATAGAAATTTTTTTGCTAAAATTAAAGTAATTATGAAAAACAGGACATTAGGTCCTTATATATTAGAAGTTGCCTAAAAAAATATTGATAGCGCTTGTTCAAGGAAGGGCCAATCTCTCTTAAATACACCCCTGTTATGCACAAAAATTAATAATAATCTAATTAAAATAACTGTGTTTATATTATAGAATAATTAAAAAAAAATTTAGCAGGTTATTATAAGTGGCACAATGTAAATTTAAATTAAATTTAATATTAAAATAAAATTAATATTAAAAATAAAAATAAAAATTTAATTTTGATAAATATATTGGTAACAGCGATTTAACGATGAACATCATAGTTATCATAGATGAACCCCAATTCAAAAGATAAACTCATAGTCTCATACATCATATATGAGAAAAAAGAAAATTATTAACTCTGTACTTAGTACTGTTCTTATAATGAAAGTATAAACTTAAATAAT